GACCCTGGAGGCCTCGGCCCTCGACGGAAATGGGAGGGAGAGGGCGGGCCATGGGCCCCGGGATAGTGCTATTCTGACCCAGGACCCCCCCTGGGACCCCCTTCCGGGACCCCCCCCGTCGAGTAAACACCGACGTTGCTCAGATTGGCTTTCCCTCCGCGTCGCGGCCGCTCCCCTCCCCCCGAAGGGAACCGCCCTGGTGCCACCCCCCCTCGGGCATCCAGGTGGGACCCCCCCCCCTCTCGGGGGGAAGGGATAAAAGGAAAGGGGATTCCCTTCGAGTAGGCTACGACGTTGCTCGGATTGGCTTCCCCCCCGTGTTTGGCGGGGAGCACGTTGGCTTCCCCCCCTGGGTCGCGGCCGTTCCCGTCCACGTCGCGGTCGCTCCCCTCCCCCGAAAGGAGCCGCCCGGGCGCCCCCCACCCCCCTTCCCTACCCCCCACCCCCCCTCGGGGGGAAGGGATAAAAAGGGGAGGGGCTTCCCTTCGAGTAAGCTACGACGTTGCTCAGATTGGTTGCCCCCCCATGTCCGGAGGGGAGCAGATTGGCTTCCCCCCCGGGTCGCGGCCGCTCCCCTCCGCGTCGCCGCCGCTCCCCTCCTCCGAAGAGAGCCGCCCGGGTGCCCCCCCCCTCCGCCTATCCGGGTGTGAACCCCCCTCTCCCCCTCATCCACCCTTCCTCGATCGGGGGGAAGGGATAAAAGGGGAGGGGCTTCCCTTCGAGTAAGCTACGACGTTGTTCAGATTGGCTTCCCCCCCGTGTCTGGGGGGGGGCAGATTGGCTTCCCCCAGGTCGCGGCCGCTCCCCTCCGCGTCGCGGCCGTTCCCCTCCCCCGAAGGGAGCCGCCCGGTTGCCCCATCCCCGCCCCGCGTATCCGGGTGTGACCCCCCCCCCCGCCCCTTCCCCCCCCTCGGGTGGAATGAAAGAGCTTCCCCTTCGATTAAGCAACGACGTCGCTCAGATTGGCTTCCCCCCCGTGTCTCGGGAGGAGCAGATTGGCTTCCCCCCTGGGTCACGGCCGCTCCCCTCGCCTGGGGAGAGTCGACCACTCCCCCTCTTGGAGCCGACGTTGCGGTGTCGTGGGCAGCTCCCCTCCCCCGAGGGGAGCCGACCACCCCTCTTGGAGCCGACGTGACGATCTCGTGGACGACGACGACCCGCGCAAGATGACGAGACCAGGATGCGTCTTCCACACACCGACAGTGTCGGCGGATTTTCATAAACCGCAAACAATTGTGCCGCCCTCCGCATTCCTCCTCGTACTCGCCCTCGTTCTCTTCGTCCTCGTCCGTGTGCTTCTCTTCCTCCTCGTTGTCCTCATGCTCATCCTCGCTATCCTCATGTTCGCCACGTCGGCTTCGTCATCGAGTCCTCGTTGTCCTCGCCTTCCTTTTCTTCTTCGCCCAATACGCCCATTAGACTACAGCGGCTTCCCGTTCTTGCCCGATCAGGTGTTCATACACTTCAAACCAAACGTGCCGCATGTCGAAATCATTCGAACGCCCTTGCGCGCGTTGTGCGTGTGCGTGTGTGTGTGTGTGTGTGCGTGTGTGTGTGTTTGTGTGTGTGTGTTGGGGGGCGTGGTCTTTTCACATGGAACCATGTGGGTTACTCGCGTGCGTTGGCCGCGCGCGCGTCGAACCCCTTCATCCCCGACGCGAGGACATCGTCATCGTCATCGGCGGGCGTGATCAGCATCGGCTCCGCCATTGCACTTGCCGTCGTCATCGCCCCCATCGGCACCACCATCGCGACTATCATCATCGCGTCTGCCGTTGCCGGCGTCGCCAACATACCGCGCCCGCACGCGCCACCGATTCGCATGGAAGTGCCCGTTGGAAAGTGCCCAACGGTCAGCGCCACCGCGGCAACATCGGACGGGCCAAACTAGCTGGCCGCTGTACGCCCGAGCGTGCGCGGGCTAGCTCGGCCGCAGGGATGCACCAGCCAACGCCAAGCAACCATCGCAATCTCTGCCGCGTGGGTTTTGCAGACCACGTTGCGGGTGGGTGGGTGGGGTGATTGCGCGAGCAGTAGAGTTGACAACCTCGAGGTCCATAGGTGAATTGCACCACGTGGATTGCAACGCGCAGGCTCTCTTTTATTCGAAGAAGTATGGATCTACCACCCGCAGGATTGCCCACCCCTCCCAGGGATGGAGCTCACCGCTTATTTCTAATCCAAGTTCCTATCACCCCAGACCGACTCCTTATTGAAGCTTTCCCCCTGCACCCGTGCCAAATAGTTCTATTCGCGCGAATTCGTAGGCTTGCAATCATCAGTTTGCATCATCCTCTACGCGGCGTCGCGCGCGCATGCTTGAATACTTCAAAACATGGTTTTGTGTTCGCCCTGATTATAAGACTGACATTCTCGAAAACGTATAATCAACACTTATGCTTCAACATGTTGTTTTATCAAGTCTGCGCGCGTGCTCTTGCTAACCCGTGCGGCAATACATGTTTTAAAGCATCCCCCAAATTGCGACCAAGAGAGCCTGTCGCACGCGCAAGGCGGAATCATTCGAACGCCCCTGCGCGCTTGTTGGGGGGGGGCGCGACCCATGTCAGATCATACCATGCGGGCCAGTCGCGCCCGTCGGCCGCGCGCGCATGTCGAAATCCAGCGACACGTGGACAGTATCATCGCCATCTGATCAGCATCCGCGCCGTCATTCGCGTTTCCGTCTTCGTGGTCATCATCGCCACCAGCATCCTTACGAACATCATCGTGTCCGCCGCTGTCGTCGTCGCCACGATTCCGCACCCGCCCGAGCCGCCAATTCGAACCGAAACGCCCGCGCGTCATCGCGGCGTGCGACACGCGTTTGGAAGTGCCCAGCGGTCAGTGCCACTAGGGCCGCGTCGGTCGCGCAGATGAGCCGGCTGTTGCGCGAACGCTTGCGCGCGTCAGCACGGCCAGCCGGCGCCGAATAGTATCGCAATCGTCGCATCATGGGTTTTGCAAGCCTCAGGAGGGGAAAAAACACGCAGACACAATTAATCGTCGATTCCCCAGAAAATATAGGAAAATATTGGAATTGGGCGGGAAGACAAGAACCAAGAAAATATGAGAAAATATTGGGAATCTGTTTATTTGTGTGCATTTATTTGTGTGTCCCAGGGCCCCTTCAGCATCATGGGCTTTGCAGACCAAGTTGCTGATGGATGGGTGGGGCACTTGCGCGAGCATTGGCTTTGGCACGCCCCTGCGAACAACAAACCGTCCACCGCACCACATGGTTTGCCAGAACACATTCTCTGGGGCCCACGCATGCCAGCATATGTGGTTTGTCTTATCTCTTTCTCTATTTATTTACATGTATTATCCGTAAGGGCTTCGCCCCCTGCCGCCGGCCCCCTCTCTCGGAGAATGGGCCATGGAAGAGCTAAGTCATGAGGCTTTGGCGCTGTCGTGCAGCAGTATCGGATTTTCATGCGAGGCCGATTCGCAATCGGCAAAACCAACTGATCACAAGAGGGGTTACCATACAGGGCGATTGGTAAGACGTGTATGGTTTACGAGCTTGGTTACCACACTTTGGGATTAAAGGGCCGAGGGAGTACTCGCAATTTGGGTTACCACGCCTTGCGATGGATGTGCGTGAGGGGTGGCACCGAATTTGAGAAATGTGGCAAATCCCTTGTGTTTTTGGACCCTGACCCCGCGGATCTGCGTGAGGGGTGGCACCGAATTTCAGAAATGTGGCAAATCCCTTGTGTTTTTGGACCCTGACCCCGCGGATCTGCGTGAGGGGTGGCACCGAATTTCAGAAATGTGGCAAATCCCTTGTGTTTTTGGACCCTGACCCCGCGGATCTGCTTGAGAGGTGGCACCGAATTTCAGAAATGTAGCAAATCCCTTGTGTTTTTGGACCCTGACCCCGCGGATCTGCGTGAGGGGTGGTATCGAATTTCAGAAATGTGGCAAATCCCATGTGTTTTTGGACCCTGACCCCGCGGATCTGCGTGAGGGGTGGCACCGAATTTCAGAAATGTGGCAAATCCCCTGTGTTTTTGGACCCTGACCCCGCGGATCTGCGTGAGGGGTGGCACCGAATTTCAGAAATGTGGCAAATCCCTGTGTTTTTGGACCCTGACCCCGCGGATCTGCGTGAGGGGTGGCACCGAATTTCAGAAATGTGGCAAATCCCATGTGTTTTTGGACCCTGACCCCGCGGATCTGCGTGAGGGGTGGCACCGAATTTCAGAAATGTGGCAAATCCCTTGTGTTTTTGGACCCTGACCCCGCGGATCTGCGTGAGGGGTGGCACCGAATTTCAGAAATGTGGCAAATGGTGTTTTTGGACCCTGACCCCGATCTGCGTGAGGGGTGGCACCGAATTTCAGAAATGTGGCAAATCCCTTGTGTTTTTGGACCCTGACCCCGCGGATCTGCGTGAGGGGTGTCGATTTCGAGCCCCCCCAGCAATTCAGACAACGCGCCCAGGGGGTGCTAAAAAGTCCTGTTTGGGCCTCCCCCCCCCTTGCGCGGTCAATCAACTAGTTACAGTAACCAGCAAGACGCAGAACTGTAACACTGGAAACTACAAGCTACAACTGGTACAGGAAACTGCGAACCCGCGCCTACAGCCTGGTGGCCCCACAAGGGGGCCGGCGGATACTGTATACGTGCACACATACATCACATCTACATTGCATGTGCACACGCAAGTGTGTTGCTGCTGCACCTGCCTCGTGCGACCTCCGACCGGGGATCCCCCTCCTCGCAGCCATCATGGCGAGGTTGGCCACGCCTGGAACTGCGCGCGGACGGAACATGCATGGTGTCGCTCGGACGCACAAGGAGGAGGAGGAGGAGGAGGAGGAGGAGGAGGAGGAGGAGGAGGAGGAGGAGGAGGAGGAGGAGGAGGGTGGGGGGGGGAGGAGGGAGGGAGGAGGAGGAGGAGGAGGAGGAGAGGAGAGGAGGAGGAGGAGGAGGAGGAGGAGGAGGAGGAGGAGGGTCTTGCGCAGCCTCCGCCCGCCCGCGCCCCTGCCCAG